TTGGACTGGTTTTGGTTTTACGACACTCAGTTGAAAACCACTCTCTCACTAGTGACAATTAATTGATTCATTTCTTAGGGCTTCAATCACCTGTCTCCACTCCATGAGGTTGACGGTGTCAGGATGAGCCTTGTCCATGTTTGGTGGTTTCAGTATCGACACATACTTATTACAGGAGAACAATAAAACAAGTGAGTTTTAGTTAGCTGAAGTCTGAGTGAACTTGACACAAAAGAAATCTGTGTCATAGTGAGATTTTGGTGGCATGCTGATAGTCAAGTTAATCCTCTTTCACAAGGCTTTATAGAAGTCTACTTTGAATTTGCATTAATCATTATAATTCAACATTTCCTACATATAGTTTATGATTAAAGCAGAATTATCAGAACCAGTTAGAAATACATTGTAATGAAACTTCTGAAAATAAGCTGTAGAATTTTTAACACTGACAAATAAAATATTAAATGGTTCAGAGCACTCACTTTGTGGCGGTCAATCTTATCGATAACAGACAAATCTGTAATATTGGAGATTCCTCCGTGGGTGACAAGTATTTTGTTGTTCACTACTGTAGCTAGAGGAAGCCAACCAAATATGTCTGCAAAGAGCTTCATGACCTTTGCTGAATGTTCCTATGAAAAACAACATAATTTATTTGTAGCAAACAAGGAAAAAAACAAAACAAAAACAAAAACTGAACTACAAGAACCAATTGATCAACTTACACATAGTTTTAATATTAAAATATATTAAATTTTCCTTGTTGGTTCACTTATTTCTCCTGGATTTTTCACTTATTTCATATTTACAGACTTATTTTGCATGGTTATGAATTCAAAATAACTATTATAAATGTAACCAAATTAGTTTTAAGGAAGTAATTACTGTACCTTATACTTGTCCATTACTTCTTTAACAAACCCATACCTAGTAAAATGTACAGTACAACAATATGAAAAGAATAATCAATAATAATGACAATCCTATCTATAACAAGATTCTTGATCATGATTGGTTCTTTGCATGCTATTTGCTACGTAATCGGTGCGCGATCACGTGGTTGTCCAACTTCAGGTATTCAATTCGAACCTTTTTGCAATTGGATACCTGTCATTGGATACCCACTTGATTCGCACGTCAAGTACACACGCTCAAATGGCTTCCTCCACAATGTTTATTACAGTTTTCAAAACTTATCAAAAGTGCTATATGTACATCCACATTTTTGCTTAAATGAAGTTCTTAAAAGACATTTTTAATTCCGAAATTTGTCATAGGTACGATTAATTAGTATTGGACCTCCTGTCATACCATTCAGGGAGAAATCACGCTCATAATTTCAAATCACCCTTGCATTTCGCTGAGGATGACAATGACAATGACAATGACAATGACGATAATGATAACTATAAAAATCTTTACAGGAGGAAGTGTCCATCACTAGAAGGTGTTACTGTTAATTCTAAGCAGCTGCACACTTTCGTACCTTAGATTCATTATGTGATCTTCATGATTACCACGATTGATGTAAACTCCCGTGGGGTAAAGTAGAAAAAATGCAAACAAAATAATAGCAATTTCAATGGAGTATGGACCGCGATCCACAAGGTCACCATTAAAGATGTAAGGGTTTTCAGCTGAGGGAAGACCATTCTGAAAAATAAAACATTTTAAATCAAGAACTGACTCTATCACCTCATTCCACAAAAACATTGCCTATACCAGAGGCTAAATCGAGCAGCCATGTAACAATAATCATGTTAGAATAGATTTAACTACTAGACTAAAGTCATCTTTCTTTGATTGTCCTTTTGCCAGAAATCAAGGTCAAAGCGGTTGCAAAAATAATTTAAATGCATATCTCTGGAGAGTTTGGTTTAGGATACATGCATTTTCAGCTATTGAAAATGGCAAAACTATGCTTAAACTTACTTCAGAAATACATGTAGGGTCAATTATACCAGGAAAATAACCCACAGCTAACACAAGCTGTGGCTTATTTTCCTCGGTATAACATGGCCCTAATCAGTACCTACAAAACCTAAATTTAATCTGCTTACAAGTTACCACTAAGTACTTGCCTTGTGAAAAATCATAAACAGATCATCAAGTTTTCCATGAAGGTCACCTGCAACAATCATACAGTAATAGACAGTGTCGTTAGTAACTCTTGAGAAAAAGATGTAATTCATATTGTGCAATAAAGCAAGGGATCATTCCAGTACAGGTTACACCAGGTACTAATCTGTCTTAAATCTATTCATCCATACAGGTCTCAGGTTTGTCAGGTTCCCTCAATGTTTGGTTACCAGTTCCTATTTATGTACCCAAGAGGAGTAAGTGCTGTGCCATCCACAATTAGGACTCAAAGGCCCGTTTTCTGAATTTACAGTTTAACAAGCTAACCTTCAGGATACCCTGTCCACAAGGGCATATACAATAAGAGTTGTACTTTTAGTTTCTGTAACTTTCAAACTGGTTTTCAATTACTGCTAGTTTTCTTCCCAACATTTTCACTTCCATCACTCATTTAATTCCTAACTATCCATAACAATTTCCAGTAATAATGATAATGATAATGATAATGATAATGATAATGATAATGATAAT